TATTGCTCTCTTGCAATATCTGAAAGGTGATTGCAGTGAGAACAGGGTTGGTCTCACTGGTGACAGGTGACAGAACGAGGGGAAATGCCCTTAAGTTGTGACAGGATAAGTTTAGGTTGGGTTTCGGGAAAAACTTCTTTAAAGAAAGAGTTGCTAAGCACTGGAATGGGCTCCTGATCCCTGAATGTGTTTAAAAACTGCTTGGCTGTGGTGCTCAGGGACACGATTTAGCGGTGGGTTGTTAGAGTTGGGCAGTATGGTTAGGTTGCGGTTGTACTTGATGATTGTTAAGGTCTTTTCCAACCTGAGCAATTCTATGATTCTATGATTAGTTTCTCAGCAGCTATTTTTATCATGATGTAAGCCAAGACCACAGAGTGGTCCTCAATCCACCACCCAGAGCTGACAGACAATGCAGAAGGGAAAACAAGCAGCAAGCAAGGTGCTACACAATATAGTTCCATGCAAAGACTCTCAAAGAGCTCCATAAATAGGAAAAAAAATTAACACTGTGACCAGCAATTATCAAACTACCACAGCACCCATGGTCAGGTCAGATCTGCTGTTATTTCAACCCTTCAAGCTCTGTGCTGTGCACCAAAATGACTGCAGCGGCTCAACCAGGCAGGTGGCTCAGCACCACACAGCCACTCGCTCACTGCCCCCTTCCCAATGGGGTGGGATAAAACTATCCACTAGGGAAAGGGATAATAGTTATGACAAATGTATGTATGTGAATGTAATGTAAAACAAGTGATGCACAAGCAATTGCTCACCACTTGACAATCAGTGCCCAACTAGACTCTGAGCAGCGGAAGAGCTAGAGAGATGAACTCCCACCCCCTTCAAATCTCTTCCTGTATGATGTCATAATGGTGTGCAATACCATTTATATATCTCTTTGGCCAATTTAAGTCAGTTGTCCTAATCCTGTCCCAGCTGAAACTGAGACATCTTCTTTTCTAATGTCTTATGAATTCAGCAGTTCTTCCCAGCTATATGGACTGGGCTCGACTTTATGGACTATTTTATAGTCTGGATTAGGTCTCATTATTCATTAGTTCTCTCTGAGAGCCTATTCACTACCAAGAAGCATTTATTTAGTGAGTAAAGAAAAGCAGTTCATTTTTTAGTACAGTAAGAATCAATGAGATTCATCTGGGACCGGTACTATTTGAATGAAAATATATCAAACTAATGAGGCTGAATTGCAGGTAAAAGTCAAAACTTTGCAGAAAGCTGAGCTTTGCACAGCAAAGGACAACAAGCAGCACATAAGTGACAACGATATTTTTCCTACAGAGGAAAAATGCCACAGAAAACCTCACAGGTGTTCATTTGAACATCACAGGTATCAAATCTACTGTTTAAAGGCAACAATTCCTTTAATGAAAACAGCTGGCTACAGGTTTGTAATTTCAAATGCTGCAGATGTGCCTTCAAAGGGATAGAACTGCTTGAGCAGCCTCCTGTAGTGCCCGAAGTACTGGATCCTGTAGATGCCAGGCTCTGTGCTGCTAGGGATGTGCCATTCAATTGTCACATTGCTCTGGCCAGACGACCCTTTGGTCCAGTAAAACCTAGAGGGTAAGACCAAACTGGAGTCAGCAAGAAAATACATTTGTTTTAACATTAGATGAATGCGTTACAGCTAAGTATATTTTAAGAGCTTCTATTACCCTTTTGCTCATATATTTAGGCTATCAGAGCAGCAACCAGCAAGCCAACCCCAAGCTCTGCAGGGTTGACAAGCTTTTAGAAAAATGTTTGGCTCTGTGTAATGCCGTGACCACAAAACACTGCTGTGAAGGACCTGTGCTGATGGACCTGTGCCACCACCCTCTCTCTGTCCCACTCAGCAGACTCTGAACCAGGACCAACACCCCTGGGACTCAGGAACTAGAATTCAGCCTAGATCTCATGAGGGAAGAAGTTTGGGCAGATGAGCTCATGGGAATCTAGCCAGCATTTATCTCTGTTGCCTGCCTTTAACAAAAGGCAGGGCCAGGCAAATTGCTGCCCATCCTCCTGAGCAGTTCCAGGGCAGTGATAACTGCCCACACTGCAGATGTGGGGTCTGGTCTAATGCTCCACTGTTGTGAACACCAAGACAGAGCCCAGAACGCACTGAGCATGAGAACACTGTCTCTCTGATGCCTGATGTTATGTGTGGTGGGACGTTGCAATGCCAGAAGATCCCAATCTGGATGTTTTCCATTTTCTTATTGGTTGTTGTGTGTGTTCTTACAGGTGCAGGGGAAGATAGGCAAATGCCTGGGTTTATTGTAGCAGGAGAGTAACTTCAAAATGAAAAGTTTGACCAAAGACTCCCTTGATATTTCTATTTCATATACTGGCTTCTGGGATAGCTTTGAAAGGTGACATCAGCTTTGCTGCATAAAGGCTGTTTTTCCTCATGATTGACATCTCTAACCTTGATTTTCTTTTCTTATAGACTTTTAAAATTGATATCTGTTTCTCCTTTATGATGTACAGCAAAGCCAGACGGACTTCTTCTATAAAAACCCTACTGTTGTCTGGGCCTCTTATTTGGTATCCTATCCATTAGCACAATACTAAAGATGGATGGATGGACGTAGGCTGTGAACAAATTGATCATTGATCCTGCTCCAATTCTTACTCTTCATATACCTCTCTCAAACTTATAAGCCTTCATTGCAGAAGATATACCACGGGGAAGGCTGAATGTTTTGTTCTGGACATGTTAACCAAACAAACATGGACTGATATATTCCCAAAGAGCAATTTGGGAATATATGTTCCTTGTCTGAAGGAACAAGACCAACCTAAGGTTGGATTAAACTCAGAGCCCACATAGAGACTGCGAAGCAGTGAGATCTGTTGGGGACACAGACCTGGTGTCCCAGGAGGCATCGTTCTGTACCACCTGCCAGCTCCCTGTGACGTTGGTATATCTCTCCACTGTCAGGAAGTTGTGTTCAGTCTGGAATAAAAACAAGAGAATTGGCCAGATGCTGAGTGAACAGGCATGTCCCTACTCTTCTGTGTCATTTCAAGCGGAGAAGGGACTGTGCTTCTGAACTTAAACTTATAAACGAAGCAGGGAATATGTAAAGTACTTGACCATCGGACAGGCAAGTTATTTGCAACCAGTTTCTGTCTTAGATGACTGATGGAGTGAATTATTTACATTTCTAATTTTCTTCAGCTAATTAAATGGATGCACTGGGCAGATAGGATGGAGACTAGAGTCCACTCTTGCTCCAGCTGGAGGGCATTTAATACTGGACTGTTGCATGGCGTAAGTCCCTTCAATTTCAATAGTGTGAATAGATCATGGATGATTTCTATATGACCTTGAGTGTGGGTTTCATATCTAATATATCAAATACAAGCCAACACGGTTTCTAACAGACAAAAGTCCAAAATAAGGACTTTAATCCAAAACTCTTCTATTGGAGTGAACTCCCAAAGGAAATCCCTATAGGAAAAACTGACATCTGAACTCGCAGCAAAACAAAAAGCACTGGAAGCACATGATCTTACTTTTGAAACAAGAACATCAGTGAGTTAAATGCATAAGGCAGACGCATTAACTATACATTAACTAATCTTTAGCATCTCCAGCCCCAACATTTCTGTGCTACATTTACCACGTTCTCTGCAGAGTTCCTGGGGTTTGCACCGACAAAAGTTACTGCAGCAACTTCTCCCTGAGGGGGAAATAGAAATCTATGTTAAAGTCCGAGCAGCACGATGCACATTAATAACATCCTTTGAAGACATCTTAAGAGTGTTTTGTTTGTTGTCTTAAAATAATTTCACCGGTTGCAATAGCAGTGGACAATTTGGTATTCTGTGCTTTCCCCTTTCCTGGTTGCTGGACAAACATCACAGCATGTACAACTTCTTTGTAAAAGATGGTGGGAAATAGGTCAGATTTTCAGAATAACTCCCTGCCTTCTTCCTATCTTACTGCTGGACACTGCAATGAAACGAAAGCTCGTGCTCTGAACTCCTTATCTACATTTTAGATATTGAGAACGGAACCCTTTCTGACATTTTTATTTCATTTACATTCCATCCCAGAGACATCAAAGGCGTCCTGATTTCTGCTTGTAAAGAAATCACTGTACAGTATTTGACCACCTCATTACGAACAGTTTCTTTATGTAGAAACAGAAGGGAGAATCTTCTACATGTTGATTACCATAAGGACTTATTTTTTCCTTAATTTTAACCACATTCATTTCATGCCAATGACACTGGCATGAAAACTCTGTCTCTCCTCTGCTACTCTGATCTGAAGAGTTCTGCTGCTTTGGAAAATTACTAGTGTGTTTAACCATTTTGCAGAAATAAAACTTCATGATCAAGGGGTAAGTTTGGTTCGTTACCAGAAATAAGAAGAAAGGAAGCATTTTGAAGGAGCTTTTAGAATTCAAGAGGGCTCTCTGACCTTGTGCACGTGTGGAAGATACAAAAGTGCATGACATACATGGATGGGTACAGCTAAAATCTGCTTTTTCACCCATGCCCAGAAAGAGCAATGATGTCTTTTAGGTTTGAGATCACCACAACAGTTTAGAAAGTTCAGACATTTTAGCAAGATAGTTAAGCATTTAAAGATTATTTTCTAAACAGGTTTTAGCAAATGCTTGAAGTTCTCACCACTCGATACTGTACGTTCACTTCTTGAAGCACATCCCCAAATGTCTTATTCACTGGTGCTCTATCAGGAGTGACAGCAGGCACCAAGGTCAGGCTGGTTACGTTGAAAAGTGGGGGCTCAGGGCCACTTGGCAAGTCCTGCACTGTGTTCTGTGGGAGGGAGGATGTGTTTGTTATACATAAGTTCATATAGCCACTCTCTCCATTATAGAATCATAGAATGCCAAGGTTGGAAAGGACCTACAAGATCATCCAGTCCAACTGTCCTCCTTTGCTACCACAAGACACTAAACCATATCTCGTAGCTCTTCATTTGAGAATTAGGAAGCACATCAGTGCTCTGGTTCTTTATCCAAGTACAAAGCCAAGCATATGGCATATAGAAAATATTGATTACCATAGCAATAGCCCTTGCAAGTCCTCTGTACAGCTGGATGTAAGCAGAAAGGGTGTGCGGTCCATAAATAGTCGATGCTGCCTCATATCGCTGAACCTAGGAAAGGCCAAGGTTGGAAAAGGGCTCTTGAACTGAAAGGACTCTTGAACAGTGTGTGTGTCTCATCCAGCTGCACCAAGATAAGAACAGTACTGTACCTGCAAGGGTTTATTTAATGATTAATATTTAATTTATAACCCTTATTTTAATATTTAATTTATAATCCTTATTTAAATAGTTGGTTTCCTGCATCTCAATCCCTTATTGCCAGGGGAGAGTCCCACTGCTAGCCCAGGTATTTCTGCTGTGACTCCAGGTTATTCTTCTTTCTCCTATCCATCACAAACAGGGAGAACCAGCTCCTACTCTTCTGTTTTTCATAGCTCTTTCACTCTCTCAAAGGCTTATAATTTTTTGCCTCCGACTCTTTGGTTTGGACAATCCCAGTTCTCCCAACCTCTCCTCCCAGGTCAGTTTCCAGAATCTTGGACATGGTCTGCACTTTGGCACTTGCACCATTTTAACTGGTCCAAAGTAAACAAGGTTGTCTTGGGATTGTGGCTGCGGAATCTTCAGCTTTTCATAGCAAAGGAAAATACTCTATGTGTGCATAATTTCACATGAATTATCATCCCATATAGGAAAAACTGAATCAGTTACCTGGTATTCTTCATAGGTGGTAATGTAATGCGTGTAGACATTACACAGACCCGCAATTACAACATCCATTCCTGCTGTACCATGAGAGCCAAATTCCTAAGAAGGGAAATAAATAAATCACTCATCTTTTATCAACATGCACAGTCGTATTATTATACTGTAATGTTATTATTTTCCAGGGCAGATTACAAAGTTACAGCAGGTACGGGGCTGGATGTTCATGAAAGCCACACTGCAAGTGTATTAATGACTCTTTTTCACTTTCCACACAAAGAGAGGAAAAATGACCTCATGCTCCAGTGAATACAATTAATTTAAGGGTGTTGTGAAGTCTGCTATCTGTATTCTCCTAAACACCTTGACAATATAACAGTGTGAGATAGCCTCAATATGCTGTGGGAGCAGGAGGCAAAATTAAGTATTCAGACCAAAGTTGAGAATGCGATGTATCCATCACAAAAAGCTACCTTAATGGATTGAAACCTAATCAGTTTGCCTCTTTTGGGGAGGATGTTCATTTCTCTTGTATATCAGTAAGTGCATGCAAAGTGAGTGTGAAAGAACCGTGAGAAGGAGAGCTCTGTAAGACATGAGCTGGGAGGGGACGAGGGAAAGATCAGAAGGATCCAGAAATGTGAAGTTCCAGGTGCAGTGCCCCGCCAGGAAGACTCGTCTTTGACAACTCACACTTTTAACAGCTTCCCGCAGCCTGCGTCCCGACATGGTCCTAGGGATGTTAAGGGAACAATGTCAGCCTACAGAAACCAAGGGAGTTTCTGTCACTTGTTTGCTGTACAGCACAACAGAGCAGAGGGGAGGCCACCAGAAGCTCATCCAGCACATTCATTGCCATCTCATTCCTTTTTACAATGGAGAAGAGAATGGGAATCTCTAAGGAACGGGAGTAGACAGCATACAGGCAACTCAGTGCAGTGGATATATATGTGGTGCCTGCAGAGCTATCATGTATGTGGGGGACAATTTTTAGCCTGCTCTCCCTTTCTACAATATCACAGCTCTCAGCTGTGATAAGTGGAACAAGAAATACATACGTAAACTCTCCAGGAACAGCAACAATTGCCAATGACCCAATAGTAGCAATCTGAACATCCACGATGTCAGGGTGCCAGGGATGAGGCCAAGTCATCTGAGATGGAAAAAATAAGTTCATATGACTTTTATGGGAAAGTAGCAAAAAAGATACCCCAATCTAGCCCCGGTTTCAAGCCACCCCATAGCACAGACAACACCATCCTTGAGTACCGCTGAGCAGCATTTCAGCTTGAAAAAAAGCTACTTTTTGAAAAAATGAATGTTAAAGAGAAATTGAAAACAAGAATTTGAGAATTATGTGGCTCGGGAAAACGAAATGCAGAGTCCCACCCAATATGGCAGGCTCAGAGCACACATGCTGCTCTGTTCTTACCTCCCCGGTGCTAAAGAGGACCGGCTTTGGTTGGTGGCAAGCCTTTGTTTCATTGGATGGCTCTCCCAGGAGCTGGTCCCGGATGTTGTCCCAAAACGGATCCCCTTCTACTGAACCTGGAGGAAAAACATCTCTTAAACACTACTGCTGCACAGCCTCTGCAGGAGCAGAGTGCACTGCTTTATGTGCATAAAGCCAGACTGAAACCCGCTCCCCAGATCACCTTGTGTGAAGTTGAAAGCCCCCACTCCATCTATGGTCCCTGCGGCAAAACTATGTCCCAAGGCTGGTTTGCATGTTTTAACCTTAATCAAAAAAGAGGGGGGAAAAAAAAAATAAAATCACAAGAGAGATTTTAAAGCCTCTTCCCTCCAGTCTGTCTCATCTCACTGTGAGAGCTCAGCCCTTCTCACCGTGTGCGTGGCATTGAGCTGCACCTGGACGTCGCTCATGTTGACCCACTGGTGAGCAGAGAGCAGCGGCCCAGTGAGCTGCTGGGCAGCACTGGTGTACAGCTCCTAGGGGACACAGCAAGTCAGCACTCCAAGCAGCACACAGTGCAGGGCCTGCTGGAGTGGGAGACCTGAGAAACAGGCAGAATTCCTTGAGGAAGGATAAATGGGGCATCTACCCCTTCTGAGCTTCGTCTAGAAGAGTCATTTCTCCATTCTGCTGACATATTGCAGTGATGTCAGTAAGTGGCACGTGATGGTGCCCTGGAGCTCTTAGGGGTCTCCAACACCCCTGGTTTTCCTACCTGATCTCTGAGCTGCGTGCAACTTGCATCTGTAAGGGAGCAACATCCCAATTGTGCAGCAGCAAGGAAGAGATTAAAACCTCAGAAAACCATTTTCACATTGCAAGGCCTATCTTTTGACAGCGTATCTAAATAGATGTGTGCACTTTCTGAAGAATAGGGAAATTTTCTTTAAGTATACTAACATGGGTTTTGTAGAAATCTGAAAGAAAGGGCAAGTGCGAGAAATTGGCTCAGATTGAAGCACGTTTGTTTTTGTAATAAGAGCACTCAGGCACATCTGTAAAGCAAAACATCACTCACCTTTGCTTTCAAGTAGATATTTTGTGCAATAATTCTTGTACTGTCGAACATGTCAGTGCCAGGTCCCATGGCCATGCACATTGATGCCTGTTAAGAAATGTGCTTAAATGATAGTGGCCTGTTAATATGGAGAGCATTTCGCTGCCGAGCGGGTGAAGGCACAAGTGATTTTCTTCACATGGGAATTAATAGCTTCTTGTTAGCCACCTAAAACGTAGGAAATCTGGTTACAGCACCACTGCAACTTTGCTGCATGACACATTTGGATCTGGGCTGACTGGCCAGAAAATAGGGAGGACAACACATGTTATGTTTATTAAAGGGGTGCCCAGAGCAGTCCCAAAGGGGTTCTTTACATGCAGAATTGTAGGAAAACACCGCACAGTGCAGTTCCAGTTCAAGCTTTCTTTTTTGTCATAATTTACATGGATCAAGCAATCCATACGTACCCCCCCAACAGGACAGGTGCTCTGTGGGTTATCACACGATTCCCCTGTGTTTATGCAGAACGGACCTTTGGTGTTGGGAGACACATCCCCCAGGTTGGAGGATGCAAAGGCAGCAACAAAAGAGCCCTGTAGAACAGAGACATTGTCAGATGGGTTTTACTGATGTGCAGTGATTGCAGATATCACCTGCAGTTCTTTCTTTTGGGGCTGCAAGCGTGCAATTTACCTCTTCCTTCCATGTAGCCCTGCATCCCCAGCTCTGTGTGTTACTGATCACGCACTGAGTGCTCACTGCAGCAATCTCATCTGGGTTTTCATTCTGCATGGCTCTCACCATGACAGATTTATGGGGTGAGAGCAGTGGGTATGGGTGCAGGAGGTAACGTCAAGAGCAGCAAGGCTGGGTGTGCATCAAGTGTGGCTCTCAGCTCATCTTCTTCATCCCCCCTTCTGGAGATGGCATGTGTCAACACCAGTTATTTTCATAACTTATCAGCTCTTTAGTCATTTGTGAGACTGCTAGACGAAACTGTCCAGCCAACCATACAGCTGAATGGCAAATCCTGCAAACATGTCCACACATACAGCCTTGTGTGCATGCAAGCTTGCACCAACTTGCATCCATAACCATGCACTATGCACTTTCTAAAGGAGCTGTGTTTGCATCTGGACATATGAAAACCAGGAGACAGAACCAGCTGGAAGCGACAGGAAACAAGTTACCAGAGGCTTGATCCTACACTACGTATACAGTGCATGGGATCTACTATCCCACGCTTGCCTTTCTGGTGTTTTCCAGTGTTTTCAGTAGTAAATAGATCAAAGGATGCATCTTCGGCCACCTTTTGCTGCATTTACCCCACTGTCCTGTTTCACTATTCAAAGGGCCATAGTAAGCATCACCCATCCCCTCCCTGTTGCACCATTTTTCCCCATTATTTTCAATCGTCTGAAAACGCTCCCACCTCTCCAGGAAGCGCACCCTTGTTCTTCTCCTGCTCAAACAGGAGAGATGCATAGCCCATGTTGTCGCTGTTGACAAGATGGTTGGTGTTGTTCATGCTGACAGGGTGCACAGCAAACCAGCTGAAGAGAAGACACATAAGGAAATCCATTACCTAAATGCATCTACCTAAATATTTGCCATTGACTTATAGGAATTTTCTATGGGAAAATAAAAAGCCAGACCACCAGTGCCCAGGGCTGGATTAACAAGGGCAGAGCTACTTACATCTTCTCCCACCATGAACAGAAGGACTCACAAAGAGCCAGATCATGAGTGTGCAGATGGCACTGTAATCACCAGGGCCACTGAGAGTTAATTGAACCCCAAATTAGCTCCAAGGTTCACTGCAGCTCGGAAGGGCCCTCCCTCCACAGATAAAACTATGTTTTCAGCAGATTGCTCAACTCTCACTGGGCAGAGGTTGTCAAACAGCACGTGTTTAATGATTGTGCATGACAGCCAGTGGGACCATAAGATTATAACATATCATAAGATTGCTGAGCCTTGGTTTTCCCTCATCCCATTAATTGTGGGGAAAATCATAGAGGAAAATGCTCCTATTGCAGTCAGACCCAGTTCTGGTTTCTGAGTGGAAAAATCACACCACTGGCTTCAGGACTGCCTCTGACTTCATTGGCCCAGCCTTGAGCTCTGAACTTCGAGCAGCCAAGAATATGTGCTGATAGGATGGCTGTCATAAAAAGGGCACCGGGCACCCAGCACCAGGAACAGCATGCTCTGAGTGAAATATAGGGTGTTGAATGAGCCTCAAGGGCTGGCAGTGTGATCTTCATCCCCTGTTCTACACTGTTGAGCTGGATGAGCCTTAAACATCCAACATCCAGCAGGTAGGAGGTTTCTGCACCCCTATCAGGAAAGGCCAACTCGGGTCATCTTTTCCAGGCTCCTCTGCAAGCCACGGTGTAGGAGCCATAACCAGAGAAGTGCCCATTACAGTTCCAGAGCAGATGAGAGACACTGACACTTCAAGGACTCTCACCATAACTTGTTCTTCCCTCAGAGACTCTCTACTGACCATCTGGGAAGAATGCTATATAGGAAAGTCACATAGATCTTCCTGAAAAGCGGGAAGGCTTGTGCAAGTAGGGAACTACAGAACTACCTCTGAACCACACTCCTGATATTCTCTGGTTTATGTGAATTTGGAGAGAAGAGTGTTACTTCAGTAGCCAGTACCTGATGAGTCCTAGGTCATGTCCGTTCTCATCTACCATCTTCAGCATCACCATTTCTTTATCTGTGTTGGTTGAGTACCTGGGACAACGAAGCGGAGAAATCACATTAGCACCAGGGCCACAGTCATGTTGTTAAATCTCCACTGGGCTGAGCAAGAAAACAAAGAGGACATTACAGATATTACCATGACATGGTGAGACTTTACAGGACCATCTTAAAATAGCTGTGAATATAAAGCAAGAAGTATGGTCATTGCTGACCTCAGGCACTGCTTCCTTTAGTGACGGAGAGAGGAGCTCTTTCAAATACAGCCTCATGCATTTTAATGCTGTGTCTACTAAGGACATTATTTTTCTGTTGTAGTTAATAATGCAGGAGGTCACATCTTTAGCCAATGCCTCACATGCTTGGAAGGAACAACCACAACTTCCAAGCCTGCATGTACAACTCCTTTTTGGGAAAGCAGATGCCAGACAACTCAGGATGGTGACAGTGTCATTCTGCTGAGGACTTGCCTCCATTTTTGAACCTTCCTATAAATGAGCAGGAAAAGCTGGCTGCAAAGACAGCTGGCTCCCAACACAGTGTGTCTCTCATTTTTGAGGCAAGTTTACCTGCTACGTTCGGATGCTGGATTCTGGAGATACGAGTAAGGGCTGCGGTTGATCTGACTGTTTTCTACCATGCCTCTGTTTAAAAAAAGCCTTCCTCTCTTCATGTTCTGATGTGCTATATCAATGCTCTGAAAATCAGAAGGATATTAGACCACAAATGTGAGCAATATGTGAGATTATTTGAAAAACTCCTCCCCTGCCTATCCTAACATTTTCTTGGGATTTTGGGGCTTTGTTTGCTTTGCTTTTCTTTAATAGCTGAAAATCTTAGAAAATTATAAGCTAATTATTAAGTAACATTTCAAAATCAGCCACAACCACCTCTTTCTAATGAAAGTCTTTTGTTTTCTGACCTTATCTTGCTGGCAAGCGGAAAACCATTTCTGAGTGTATTTTAAGGCAGCGGTTGGAACTGGAGGATTTTTAAGGCCCCCTCCACCCAGAACTATTCTGTGATTTAGAGGTTGCTTTGATTTAGAGGTGCTGCATCCCCAGCGTTCTTTTGAGGTGCTACCATGAACATCACAGCAAGAGTTGGTCACAAAAGCATCTCCCCTACCTTTACTGTGTTCATGGGCCTTTGTGTCACTGGTGACCCCTACCTTTACAATGCCATTCACAATAGCATTGAGGTTTGGTTTGATCAAGCCTTTGCTAGTGATCCAGAAGAGTGTGTACTGGAAGTAACCACCAGGCCCTGAGTGCGTGTGGGTGCCGCTCAGGATGACGTTGTCCCTTCGGTACAGCTCGCCATACTTGCTCTTCAGTTCCTTCAACACCTAAGGGAAAAGAAGTGGTCCTAAAACCCCTTTTTCATGTTCAAGGGCTGTGGGGTTTTGTATCAAACCCTGCAGTAAACCCAGCCTCTCTACTGGCTCCTCATTTTCCACCTGATACTCCTATACCAGTGGCCAAACAAGTACGTTGTAGTTATTGACTTGACAGCAGCCTTAAAATAATAATATATTAAACAATAATATATCTAAAAATGAAGACCTCTATGGCCAACTTGTAGGCCACCCCAAGTCGTCCAGGGAGTCTCCATGTCTCAAGGATCTCCTTTCGTACTCTGTGGTGCTGGAAACTCAGATTTACTCAGGCATGAAGTGTCACATATATTTTTCGATAATTTTTCTGCTGAGAAAAGCCTCAGGAATCAGCAGCTCTTCTTCAGAAGAGACAGGACATCTCTCAAAATCGTGCTGCAAAGAGATCCCCAAGCAAACAGTCATGGTGTTTGCTTGGTATTATTTTGTAGTGCCTACAGCCTCAATGCTAACACCAGCCACCACTCAGACCTTGCAGATTGATTACTTCCAGCCACGTACTTCCAGCCTCAGTCTCTGGGACACCATCCCTATGTCAATGCTGACGAACACCACTCTCCTGGAGTCATTGGGCTCAGCCACGATGAAGGCTCGGCTGTAGAGGCGTGTGAGAAGTCCACCACCCACCTGGTCTGGATTGGCATAGCCCATCTGCAAGGGAAGAGCTCCCTCAGACAAAATACGGGATGTGTTCATTTGCATATATTTTTCTAAGCATATTTTCCAGAAGATCAGAGAAATCTTTCAACTCAGAGATGCAACTATCTTACCTTTTGATTACAAGACAATTCACATAATGATTAATGAAGACAACCATTTGCTAAGACAGAAGTTCTGAGGAAAAAAAACCAAAACAAAAAACAAAAAACAAAACCAAAAAACAAAATAAACCCAAAATCAAACAAAAAAACCTCACCACAACACTTAGAGATGATGAACAATCAGTATTTAACTGAACTTCTGAGCAGTTCCCCATACATACCAGAGGAATTTCTGCTACGGGCCCTGTGCAGTCTGCCCGACCTACACCCAGTAAGTAGTTTCCTGAGCCACCAGTTGTTGCTGGTTTCTGGGTTGGTGAAGGTTCATCATAATCTATAATAAGAAAAAATAGGGCATTTATTTTAATGAATGGGAGATAGTGGACTTCAAACACTCAGAAATCTACTGGGGAAACAACACAGCGAGCTGCAAGCGATCCAGAGCCCCATGGGATCCTTTAACAACAACTTCAGGCATCAGACAAACCCACTAGAGGTGAAGCATTGCTGGCCCTGCACTCACCAATGCAGAGGACATCATTAAAGGCATTAAGATTGGAGGCATCTTGGGCTGTAGCGACCATGCCCTGGTCAAGTTCATAAACTTGAGGAATGTGGGGCTGGCAAAGAGTGGATTGAGGACCCAGAACTTTGGGAGAACAAACTTTAGTTTATTATCCCCCTTAGAGACAAAGGAGTGGTGCAAAACTGGCTCGTCTTTAAGGATGCATTTCTGAGACAAGCAAGAGTTCCCCAGCCCTCAGAATAAGAAAGCAGCCAGGGGAGGCAGGAAACTGGCTTGGCTAGGCAAGGAGCTGCTGGTCAAACTGAGGGAAAAGAAGAGCAAGTACAGCAGTGAGAGCAAGGAAATGTCACCTGGGAAGAATATAGGGATGCTGTGCAGACATGCAGAGATGGGATCAGGAAAACCAAGGCACAAATGGAACTGAACTTGGTGAGGGATGGTAAAAACAACAAGAAGGGATTTTATAGGTATGTAAGTCAGAAGAGACAGGCCAAGGAGAGCACAGCTTGAGATGCTATCTAAATTTAGATTAGATGTCAGGGAGAAGTTTTTTTACTGAGAGAATGGTGAGGTGCTGGAACAGCTGCCCAGAGAGGCTGTGGATGCCCCGTCACTGGAGGTGTTTTAGGCCAGGTTGGATGGGGCCCTGGGCAGCCTGATCCACTACTTGGTCTGGTGGCTGGAACCCTGCCTGTGTCAGTGGGGTTGGAACTTGGTGATCCCTGAGGTGCCTTCCAACCCAAGCCGTTCTATGATTCTGTGAGATTAGTGGCCACAAGAACAAGCAGAAGTAGGCTCTGAAGAGTTAATGTAGCCTTTGTAAAGGGTGTCTGAAACCTGCTAAACATCCCTGGTAGTTTAGGAAGCCTATGGACAAGGGGTCTGCCTGATGCTCAAAGTGTCTGGACAGTGTCACAGGAAGAAAAAAACACTGAGAGTTAATAAGTAAGTAAACTCTCTGTGCTTCAGGAAATCCCACAGCCACAAATCACTGGAGGCTGAGATAACACCATGGGAAAATATTTGTGTGTGCTTAATCTGTTCTTCCTGTTCTGCTGGGGTTGGTCTTCCCACCATGCCCTTTCCTTGGCTGTCATGTAAAACAGAGGAGAAAAGACATGCTCTCCTTGACCACAGACTGACCACAGGAGCAGCAGACAGATATTGCTCGTGCCTAAAGCAGCATAAAGGAAGAGGATTCCCATTAAAGCATTAAAACCTCCCCTCCCAATATTTTATCTCTTCAGAGGATAAGAATAGGGTATATGAGAAGTGATCTAAGGGTCCCTTTGAGCAGGCCCTGCCACCAATGCCCCATGCCTGGTGGTGGGCTTGGAGGCATAAAGTGGTTGGTAATGGTATTGCAAACACTGTGGTGCATGCCATCAATTTAAATTGCAGGTCCAGGCACACAGCTCATAGACAACATGCTCTGTGCAACTGGAAATTGCACTTGCTCCTTAGATTTCTCCTTCTCTGGGTTTCAATAAAGTGCTTCATTGCCTGGCTATTTTTTTTAGTGCTGTTTTAAGCTTTCCAAAAAAGCAAACTGCTTCACGTAGGAATGGACTGACGGGATCTGAATGCACGGCCACAGGACGTGTCATGCACATGAAACGCCACACCACTGCAGAACTGGGGAGAAATGGGGCTGGTATTCAGATTCAAGCAAAAATCGTTGACCAATGCAAATAAAGAGCACATTTCTAACGGCTCAAGTCTGCAAATGATTTGGAAATGAGACACCACCATGTCGCTGTTTCACTGCAGTGTGGATATCACTGGTTTCTGCTTTAAAAAGAAATCTGATAACTGTGCATCTCCACTCCCTCCTGCATCCTCCCCCCTTCCCAGCAAACCCTCTTGAGCTGAACCAAAAGAGCTCAACTTGCCTTTGCTGCTCTCCCGAGTGACAAAGTGGAGGACAAGGAGTGCCACAGTCACCGCTGTCATCAGCACCAGGAGAGTGATGAGGACAATCTCCAGGCTGGAGTAGGGGTGTCTGTTCCTCCGTCTGCACATGGCCCTGTGTGAGCAGAGAGGAGCCGGTGGGATGGCAGGCAGGACTCCTGCAGTGAGCCAGTGATGGTTTGTGTGCTGCACATCCCCTCGCTGAACAGGGATGCTTGGCGTGCTCTCTTGAACAAGTCTTTCAAATAAACCCCAGATATTTTGCCAGGCTGTATACTTGCCAAGCAGCCAAAGGAGATGCCTGAAGCCTCACTGCATTTTTGCAGCTTGTGCTCAGAGCGCACAATGTTTTCATCACAACAGTGGTTAGTTTAGGAAACCTGAGGCAAGACAAACATCTCCATGGCACGTGCAAATGCATTTCTCTCCAGGATACAAAAAGTAGTACTTGTGACAGCATTCCTAGATAGGACCCTATTGTAGAGATGCCAGCCTTTCTCCTGCTCTGCAGAGCTCCTTGCTTCTCGCATTTTGAGCATTGTTCCTCCATCTCATTTTAAAGACTAACAAGAAAAAATGTTGAAAATAAGGCAATGAGAAAATGCAGTATTTCCTCCTATGCTAAAAATCTTCTATTTGGCCTGCCCAGACGTCTGAATTTTCATCAAGATCTTCAGACTTGCTGGGTGGGAGGTCAGACTATGATCTAGGATGTGTCTTTCTCCCTTCTTGGAAGCATCTGTGCAAGGCAGAAATAAGCCTTTAAGATAACTCTGGGCATTTTCACACATACTTAGGTGCATCTGTACACAAAATGGCCACAGATCCTGTTCCTTCATATACTTCTGCCTTTGATTGATGCACATACCTGCCCAAAGGGGCAGATTTCTGAGGGTTTTTGGGGATCTCCATTCTTGGTGGTGGCCCCATGCAATGTGGGAACCACCAGCCTGAGTGACAGTGTTCTGCCCCTATGGCTGTGTCTCAGCATGGAGGATGGACACGGAGAGGAAATTTATGGTCTCAGAAGCATGGCAATGAGAAATGTCACCACCAGCCAGTCACCCAAACCTGCCATAGATGCCATAGACCACTCTCTATAAGTTTCTCTTACCACAGAGAGATAAAGCAGCTGTGATCACTGCTTAATTTCACCTAACAAATCTTTTAGTGGTAAGAAACCTAGTATTATGGGTTCCCTTCCTTCCCCCCTCTTGGCTTTGCATTGTATTACAGAAACCAGGAGCTGGCATCCTACCAAACATCACAACCCATCCGGGTAATTGTTATCGCAGTGCCATCCCAAAACACATCCAAACAATAGGCAATTTCATTCATTTTTCCAAGTGATTAAGAAGCTGAAGCAACAGTAAAAAGTGAAAAATAGTACCAGAGAATCTCAACAACACCTCATGCAAACTCACCTTGCAGTGCAGCCTTCAAGGGTTTTGGAGTTCTGGGTGCTGTGAGGCTTTGGTACGCTCAATTCTGTCTGTGTACCTGTGGTCTCTCACGTGTCCCAGAGGTTGGAGAAACATCTTCCTGCTTGAAACCTGCTGAAAAGCGCAGCTTGAAAATTATTGCTGTTATAGCTCTGTGAGTCAGGCTCCACGCAAGATAAGGGGAAACAGATCAATAATATTTACTGCAAAAGCAGGCAGAGTTTTTCCATGCATTTAAGCATCTGTCTCTTCAACACAACCTTTTTAGGATTGCATAGATCACCTCTGGTGCACCAGGAACTTGGGAGCAAGCCTGTTCCCTCCTCTTTGCTTCATCACTGCCTGATCTGCCTGCAGGATCCTGCTGTGAGCCCCAGTCCCTGTGGAAGATTGCTCCCAATGTTTGATTCACTGGATGAGCTCAAATACAGGGACATGCTCTTCTAAGGCCTGCTTTATCCAAAGAGCTGTGTCTGTTCTTCCCAAATGTGGTGGAAACCGTCACATCCCTGAGACAGCAGCCACTTGCCCTTGCTTGCAGTGGGGTTAAAGGCCCTACAACTAATTGGGGAATGTAAGGATGGCACCACATACCTTTTCCATCGCACTCAGCTTCCAGACATCAAAGAAGACGCTGTTTTCCACTTTTATCCTCATTTCTATCATACTCCTAATCCAAAGGGTTAATGTCTCAGTGAGCAACCTGAGTCATGGCTTCAAGGTTCCCTCCAGTATCTTGCTCAGTCTCAGCAGATTTCAGGCTGGCTGGTGGGGAGAAGTAAGATTTCGTGATACGTTATCTCCTTGCTGTGATACCAACGGAACGTGCTGGGCCTGCTGTTGGTGGAAAACAGCCTGCAAGGCAGGATGCCATGGGAACAGGCGGGGCATTGGCAGAACACGAACCCTTTCCAAAGGTGATGTACTAGCTATTCACTGTGAGACTGAGTTTTCAAGAGTTGGTATAGTGATGGTGTGCTTATCTTATAGAACCATAGAATTGCTTGGGTTGGAAGGGATCTTGAAGCCCACCCAGCGACAATCCCCTGTGGTGGGCATCCTGTGGTGGGCATCCCAGGCCCCCATCCAGCCTGGCCTTGAGCACATCCAGGGATGGGGAAACCACAGCTTCTTTAGGCAGCCTGTGATAGAGACTTCCAGCTCTATCTTCCAGCAAACTCACAGGAGCCACGATCTTCTTCGTGAACCACCTGAACCTGAATCCTTCCATCCTTATCTTCCAGTGTTGGTGCTCAGGAAACTAAATAGAGTGCTTATTTGTCTATTCTTCCCCTTTGCTTTCCTTATCTCTCAATTCTCATTCAGCTCATTGGCACGTGGTAGACATTCATCCAAACCCCTCCTCGCAACAATTCATTTTGGTAACCCATAGGTGTGCAGTGTCTGAGGCCAGCCAGGAAGCCCACCAAGAATTTACCACAACATTCCCAAGCCTAACGGGCAGAAAATGCTCCATCTGTTAAAAATTCAAATTAAAAATCTCTCTGTGAGGTAATGTTGCAAGTGCTGGGCAGAGGAAAGAAACCCCTAAAGGATATCTGCTGTTCTGTCCAACATCATCATCAGGACAGCAACCTGGCCGCCTTGTTTTTGCACAGCCAGCTGAGTTTTGGCCAAGAGACTCAGCATGAGAGCCAAAAGGCACGCTCATTTGCATTGCAATTAAAACCTCAATTTGTACAGAAAGTTCTGGCCTCACACTGATTTGTTCTTGCAAAATACTGCTGGCTGGTGTCTGTCTGCTGGATGAGGCTTGGGGCTTTGAGCATCCTCAAAAGGCTGTCTCAGAGCTTGCTCTAATTTTGATGAATTTAAACAACAGAAAGGCAGCAAAATGAGCCCAGAAGAGACCGACTCACTGGAGCTGCATGCACATAGCAGGCGACAGGTCAGACCTGCTGCACAATTCCATGAATTTCTGCTTGCCTCCGCAGGGGACTGTCAGAAGAGTGGACGGGGAATGAATAGACTGACATTTCCTTTCCTCAAAAAAACACACGGCGTTGCCCAGGCTTCTCTTCCTTAGGCTGGAACACATTGTGCCACTCTGAAACCTGGCTGGATTTCTGCAGACACTGAAACCAGCAGCATCAACACCACATTATTTGGGGGTTGGGGAAGCCACAGCAGGTACCCCAAAGTGGTGACACACCACAGATCTCGGCATTCAGAGAATGGATACTTTCTTTCAAACCTGTTTGTGCTGTATTTTGCACAGCTGGTGTCTATAGCAGGGGCCTGGAACAAGGATCAGCTCTCAGTAGGGGTTTGCTGTTTGTCCAGGCTCAAGATGTGCACCAAAGCCTGGGATCCCAGCTGTGAGGAGGGAATGCAGTCTGAAGCCTTTTGCATAATGCTGCTTATTTAATACAGAATGTCCAAAGTCCCTTTTATATGGATCCTGATAACAGGAGATAAGGTTTCCGAGCAAAGCTATCAGCAAAATCCTTTGGGGCTCTGGCAGAGACAGGCAGGGCGAATCAGGCAGCACCACGCAGATCTCCCCTCCTGATTTCCCAGCCAAAGCATCCCAACAGCAGCAGGTAACTCCATCAGGTGAAGGGCCGGGCTGCGGGGGAAACGATGGAAATGGTGGTATGTAGAATCAAATGCCATCTCAGTGACTGCCTCTGAGCTCCTTCTCGTTCCGTTTTCCTCAAAGCCTATAAAACAGTAGGTGGAAATGAAAAAATAAGTGATAGCAGAGGCTCAACCACCTCAACTACATGGGCAGGCAAACAGATCTGTCCGTGCCCAGATTTACAGCTCTGGCTGCTGGACCCACATGCAAGAAGCTGAGATAAGCCAAAATTAACTTAAACCATCTGACCGTGTCAGATGGGCAATGATGGTAACGCACACAAAGCTTTGAAACAGCACCTCAAAGGTCCGCAGAAGTAACCCAAAGCATCACAAATTGCTGCAAGGGAGACACCCTTGGGCCTCAGGACTGTTTGCAATGTTTGGGAATGGAGATGCACCCCTGCAGCTGCAGGACTGGTGGAGGTTGGCAGAAGTGGAGGCTGGGGCCTCAGGCCAGCCAGCAATGCTTTCTGTGCTTAGGAGACATCAGAAGAAACCATGCAGCAAATTTAGGCTTCAGCCCACGCTCTCCTGGATGAAGCGCACTGCCCCAGGCTCATCCCCTCCCCCTGGAGGCCTTCACCAACTTGGCGTCTGGTCACATTTGGATGTACAAGACCAGGAAACGCTTCTTGGGAATCTCTTCCTGCTCACTGGGCCCAGAGATGGGAAAATGACAAAACAGAAATGGGGAGGGCTTTCCCAAGCTAACGCCAGCTGACATTTTCTGGACAATAATTGAGAAGAAAGTGACTAAGATGGGCTGCTCTACTCGCATCCATGCCTACGCTCCAGCTGCCTGCCATGATGGCAACCAGCAGGGCTGGGGATGCTGCTGGAAACCCCCTGCAAGCAAATTTCACAAAGTGGCAGCAAAAAGCACCTCCTGCTGCAGAACATCGTGATGTCAGCAAGACACTCAGAGCACAGATGAACTATGGTTTGGAGAAAAACAAAGGTGCAGCCAAAACACTGGGCTGGTGCAAGAATCCATTTTCTGCAGCGTGTGTTCCTGGCAACACCAGGAGGCACCATGCAAAGGCTTCACCACCTCTGTGTTCTTTGCAGAGAGTATCAAAAAGCAAAGCTTCTGTTGCCTTTGCTTGGCTTGTGCTCAAGAACCTCCCCTCCTTGTACTTTAAGAGTCCTGAAACCTTCCCCACCTGAAAGGGCTAAAAACAAAGCCACAGTGGTGTGCAGCAACACAGGGATTCATCCACATCCACTCCCAGGGAAAGACCTCAGTTCTTCTCCCAGACACCAACACCTGCAGGGTCCATCTCAGTTCTGAGCCCCTTTTTTTCCAACTTGTACTCCTGGAGATGCCTCCTTCGAATTCCAGCCTGCCCTGGACATGCTATGTTTTACCCCGAAAAAACAGTTGTGCCTCAAAACTTCTCATTATTTGTAAGTGCCCTTACAGATGCCCCTCACAGGAAACAAATGCAGAAGAAGTGGGTGCACATACCATACCTGAGTATCCTGGGGGAAATGCAGAACTCAGTGTGCCATTGCTGGGCTCGGCCTCCCTGCCTGCCCCACTATTTCTCAGGACAGCACAGCATGCTTTACCAAAGCACAGCTCTGCCGTGAACAAACAAAACGAAACCACGTTCAGCAAGACCCATGCAGTAAGTCAGACACTACAATGCAGAATTCAGCAGATTCCATTTAATGTCATGTGCATATATCCATACATTACTTATGTCAATGGTTTTGATGTGCGTGATGCCAGGTCTTGAAAAATCTACTTATTCTTTTACATCTGGGAGCGTGAATTCTCTCAAGCAATCGCCTCGGGATGGATTTGCTGTTTTAAAATCAGCTTTCAACCGCACACTTGCAAAGACAATTACTGTGAACTCAAGGCAAAGCACGCAGAGCTGATCCCTAAAACTTGCAGATGGCTCTGCAAATACTGCTCCAAAGGGCTTTTGCCAAGAAACGTGGAGTAGGAAGAAATCCTCTCCCTTCCAGGGAGAGCTGTTAAGGAACGGGCTCATCTTGCTCAGCATCCCAGGCAACGGCGAGGCAAAGCAGCAGAAGTAACACAGGAATGATTCCTCAAGGAGGTTGAGAAAGAGGGCGGAGAAGTAAAGCTAAAACACTACCATCACCACCACTACCAAAAACCCTACGCTAAAACAGAAGAAACAAAAAGCGATACTGTCACCATCAAGTACTCACAACAGTGGGACATTTGGGGCAGCTCCTGGGGCTGCCAGAGCTGCCTGCCCTGCCACGCGCTCCGCCACAGCACTTTTGGGGTAGATTTTTCAAGGCCTGGGGATGGTTCCAAGGAGGGCTTCTCAGATCCGCCCCCAGCTCCCACATGGTCAGTATGTATTGCATAGTATTTATTTCATTTAAGGCACTGGTTTGCCAAAGGTGAACAGCAATTCAACAGCAATGCAGTTTCCATACAATTTGATGGCCTACAGTGCAATTACAAGTAAAATCAAAGGCAAGGTCGGGAAGATTAAACCTAGCTTAAAATTTAAGATTAATACTAAAAACATAAAGGAAACTACATTTTTCAAAAGCCTTTTTATTTTCCTTCACCATTGTTGTTTTACAATACAAATATCACCTTGTGAATACACAAAAACCCTACAGAAGATAACTCTGCTTCACGTAAAATACAGAATGTATATATATATATATATTCATATATTTTTTTTTCTCTTCTTCATTCTTTAAAAAAACTATTTTGTTCTGCACATTGGCAAGTTTAGGATAGAATACTTCCCCAGACATACAGTATGTATGGTAGGAGTGAAACTTATAGTTACATGCAGTTTCTGCACAAATATTTTAAAGAAATAGATTATCTTTGTTGTTTTTCCAACAACAGCTCAATATGGGATGGAGAAACCATTTGTAGTTCACTCAGTGATCATTTGTAAAATTCTTAAAAAACAGGAATTCATGGCTGTTTTTTCTTATTAAAACACAGCTACCAAGTAGACAATAAAGTGATTTCTTTTAGTATGATCTGCTCACAATGTGTGAACAAGATCTGACCCTTCCTATTTGGTTTGTCCCTACCCATGGCAATTTCAACATTATAAGCAAATTTCCAGTTTAATTTAGTTATAAATGCAAAAATTAGTAATTATACAGTATATATAATTCTGCTTTCATGGAATACTTTATTTTAAATAAAAACATTTAAGACTGCCTACTGACCATACAATCAAGACAAGAAAGGCACTAGAAACATAGACAAATCTCTCTCTCCCAAGAAGCATTTTCTTTAAATTTTAACTCTATTCTCTGACATGTAAAAATCTTTTTAAATTTAATTTTCATACACATTTTGAAAAATAAAGTTAGGAAATACTTAGAAAATCACTTTACAACTTTTTTTTCTTTTTTTTTTTTTTTTTTTGCACTTTTTGACACAGTCACTGCAGATTCTACAAAATCAAGATTACCAAACCTTCCTGTGTCTATCATCTCGTTTGTATCGCGGTGCAACAGGTAGAAAGATTTCTCGATTTACCCGAGGCAGGTATTCAGAAACCTTCATAGAGTCATTAGCTAGAAAATGGCTTACAGCCCAATCTTTGGGGCAAGAGATATGAAAAGTATGTTTTCCCAAGAAAATAATACGCATTATTCCCAGACGTGACTGGAAAGACCAGAACTTATGGTATAAAAGCTTTCATTTATGCTGTCGCATCATATACAAAGGAACATGGTGATGGGTAATGTAAATCCCAAATCTATTAACAAGAAATGTATAACAGTGCGTGATAAGTTAAATTCTCTTTATTGTTGTCCAACGCAGATCCTTTGGAGAGAAAAAAAAGATCACAGTGCTTACCAGGTAACTGAATAGGTTAAGTCAAGGGAGCTGTTAAAAGAAAGGGTTAGGGAGGGGTTGGGGTTGTTTTGTTGTTTTTTTATGGCATCTTCTTGCATGGAGTTCTTAGCACTTGGGACAGGCCCTTTCCCCCTCTGTCCACCAACACGCTGTTATGTGTCATTCACCAGCCGGCTGTATTTCACCTGCCTGCCCCGGTGCAGCACCGGCCAGGGGAAGGGCCAGTGGTAGGAGCGAGGTACGATTCCTTGGACATTCTTTTCAAAGTACTGGAAAGGCTTGTACCACCAGACCCTTGCGAGGAGGTTGGTTTGGGAAGCTTCTTTTAGCACCTGCAGAAAGACAATCAGAAAAGAGAATTGTAAGAGAACAAACCTCTTGCACGACTTCACTGTTTGACAATTACTCCCATCTATCAGCGGCGGTCTTTGCTTACAGCTGTTTCCAAAAACCTCTCGGCATCTTGAGGTATCTGCTGAACAAATCTGTACAGATAAGGATCTGCCAAACAGCCAAGCTGCTTTTCCACAGCCTCCCTACACACAGACCTGCTGCACCTCAGTGACGCTCGCCATCGTTTGCAAGCCCTCAGCTGCTCAACAACAGCCCCAAGCAGAAAAACTGCGTGTCAAAAAAGGTGAATCTCTCCTTTCTACCGGGAATGAAAAAACATCCCAAAGTGTGTCTGTCTCCAAAACTACTTTTGTAACTCTGTGGCTCCAGAACTATTTTTGAGCCCAGCTGTGTGCATGCCCCGGCCCATCCAGAAGAGGCAAAAAACCTGCCCTGGCCTTGGTGTGCTCTCACTCCACAGCCACCACCCTTCTTACTCCTCTCGGCTATGAGCAAGCACAGCTGAAATAAAAGGAGTGGGCAGGTGCTGAGGGAGTCACACGAGCACCTTGCTGCACATTCACTGTGCCACAGCAGGAAAGCCAGGCATCAGCCCACTGGGAAGTGCAAGCACAGGGTCTGCACACCAAACTTTCTTTCTATGCCATAAACTCACATGTAAAAAAATCCACTTTCTGGGAGGAGCCTTTTAAGGTCAGAAAAAAGCCACGGCACAGGGAGCAGCACCAGGGACAGACAATAGGACATGCTCAGGAAAGATCCAGCAATCAATATTTCCCAGCATCTTAGCAGATGAGGGAAACAGTGGTGAGCCATCTCCTCTGAGCCTCAGCACACTGCAAAAGAGATACATGTCCATACAGTAATGCAAAGAGCTCTTCTGAAGCATGTTCTCATCAGAACTCAAAGCTTCAGTAGTTTCCCAGCTGGAAACATGGCCACTCAGCACAGTGTTTTGATAGACTTTGGGAAATCTGAGGTGTGGAAGCCAACCGAGTGCTGTGTGACAACAGGAAGTTCAGGCACAGACTTTAATGAACACAGTGGCTCCCTAACTGAATGAACACGAAACTGCGTGATCTGCAATCAGGCATTTGGAAGCAGAAATATGCAACAAGGTTGGGGGTGCTGCTGCAAGTAGCACAAGAAAAGATGAACAGCATAGGACACAGTAGCTATATAGACCTTGGTATGAACTGAAAATCAGCACCACTGTAGTATTAACTCATTTCCTACTATCATACTGTCTCTTTGTCAAACATAATTAACTGGAACTGAATGCAACAGTTATGTAAAATACCTTCTCCATGTCGCACAGAAAATATCTGGACACTGGTTTGTACAGGCCTAAGAGAAGTCTGGGATAACTTCTCTTAACTCACTGTGTGCAAAAAAAGTTACCTCTATAAGCTATGTTAGAACACAACAAAAACTGCCAGTTGGCCCAAATTCAGATTTCAAAACCTGAGGTTACAAAGCCTACGGCAAGCCTTCAAATACTTTTTTGCAGTTGAGACACAAGATGAAACCAAACAACGCCTCTTCTCCTGTAAGCCCAGCATGAGAGGGAAGAGCAAGATGCTCCAGAGGGACAGGCTCCTGCAGAAAGGCTCAGGGCAACATGTGGATATTCACCCCCCCGCCACAATATAACAAAGAGAGTTATAAGGATCCAAAGACTGGGAGAAACTTACTTGCTGGTTGGCCATTGTGTGATACCACCAGAAAAGTCTTGTAGTGATGTAGTAAGCCACCACCACGTCCACAGTGTAGTGGTCATGAGCAAGGAGGATGCAGAACATCCCAGCCATGCTGAGTGTCCAGCAAAGCCAGTGATACCACCAGAGTCGCCGTGGGGAATCTGCAAAGAAGCACAAGCAGGCTGTTAGGGAGCATGCAGAGGGCCATCAAAATTACCCAAGGGATGGAACACCTCTCCTACCAGGACAGGCTGAGAGAGATGGGGCTGTTCAGTCTGGATAAGAGAGGCTCCGGGGGGACCTGAGAGCAGCCTGTCAGTATCTAAAGGGGAGGTGTAAGAAAGAAGGGGACAGACTCTTTAGCAGGATCCGTGTGATAGGACAAGGAGAAAGGGTTTCAAACTAACAGAGGGGAGATTTAGATATACAGAATAAGTTTTTTTTCACAGTAAGGGTGATGAGGAACTGGCACAGGTTGTCTGGAGAGGCAGTGGCTGCCCCATCCCTGGGGACATGAAGGGTCAGGCTGGATGGGATCTGAGTTATAGGCATCTCTGTTCATCTCTGTTCACTGCAGAGAGATTGAACTAAGTGACCTTTAAGGGTTTTTTCCAACTCAAATGATTCCATGATTTCAAAACATTATCAGCACTCAGGACTATTGCTGTAATTAGAAGAGGATGCAGACTGCAATCCTGCGTGGGTAGAAGAGTTAAGATTAAGAGCAGGAATGCTGAGATGACAAAAGCATCACCATTCTGTCAGGGTGCAGCTTTCTATTGTACTCAGAGGTAATTAGACACTTGAAAAATAGAAAGGTTATGAAACCTTAGAGAAACATGCTGGATACATAAAAATCTAACATATGCTGGTCTGTAAAATTAACTGTTGTGTACTTCAATATTAATTCTACACAGCTGACAATCCATTCCTCTTGCTCTTCATAGAAGGCAAAATGAGTGACCCTGGCATCCATCTCTCTAGACAAGGAGATGCAGTTAAAATACCATCTATGGGACATGGTTCAACGAAGGTATAAACTATATTCTAGTCAAAACACTGAAATTAAAATATATACTTCAGACACGTACGGGAAGGTGTTGGGAAGGTGTTGTATTTTGTCTCCAAAGTTTTCTTTTTCAGTAAAATCTATGTCCCTGAAGTTGTATTACTTTTCTTTAATGGGAATGGGTGCCCTTTCACTGAAGTGGTATTTACCAATCAGCACACCGATGATTCTTTGATGAGCTGGGAATTTATACAACAGGAGATTCCTGATGAACATACTTACACTCTTTGATAAATAAGTATGTGAGAGTTAGTATGACGGTGTGCCCGCTGTACAGATAGTCGCCGCACATGTTGTGGGATCCTGTGATGGACAATCCTCCGCCAGCTATCAGCTTCATTATCCTTCGCAGGTGAGATTCCCAGTCTCCAAAAAGCTGGTGGAAGAGCAAACCGCACGTGAACGACATCATATCACTGCTAACCTTTCCAAATTTAAAGCACGCCATCAGTCAGCCATTTGTCTTTCACCTGTTCTCTCTTTTTGCCTTGATGTAAAAGAATTTGTTCAGTAATGTGTGCATTAGGGAAGTCTGCATGTGAGCACAGGCTGCACGCGCCTGCATCTGTTTGTTATTTGAAGTGTTCTCAAGAGAGGGAATCAAGAAAATTATTATAACTTCCATACAAATACAATATCCCAAAGGATTATGTTTTTTCTCCTGCACTCACAAGACAGACAGGAGGAGAAGAAGCAGTATTATTTATCCATACAGGTACTCCTAAACATATGTATACATGCAAAAAAGCCCTATACCACGTCACATCTGGTTGCAATGAGAAACGTGGCACCTTTTCAGTGTGATACCAAATCAAAGAACGGTCCAAGAAGTGTTAACCTCCTGCCAGTGTCCACACTGAGTAAGGAACTTAGGGTAAAACAGGTAGGTGAACAGAAACTGCTGCTATTTATAAATACTTATTGCTGCTACCATGAAAAGGCATTATCTTTCTCCGAGGCCTTGCTGGCAGTGTTGTCAATGTTTGAGGCTGTGCAGGAATCTCCAAGAGCACGTAAGGGGTTCAGATTTTTCATTTATTATATCCTTTTAAAAGCCCCACGTGTACAGTGAGCAGCAGAATAAGGACTACTGGAGAACCTGTGAATTCTGTAATAGGCTCAAAAAATCCAGCTTCACAAAAAAGAAAAGGAGATAAAAATATTTCCAGTTGTAGTTAGAAATTTCTCATGATTGCTGAACATCTGTTTCCCCTTCTGTTCAAGAGGCAACACAATTTAAATAAATCAAGCTTAATTTAATTCATCTTGTTCGTAACAGTGCAAGCCCTGCAGATGATAATCCAACTGAAAATGAGACCAACTGCCTAAGCTGTACATCCAAGCTGCCTAAAGCCAGATTTAACACACATTTTGAGTTTTTCATTACAAACACTAAAGGATCCCCGTGCCCTGCCTTGAGAAGTTCTAAAATAATTTCTTTCCAACTCACATCAGAAAAGAAACATAAATGGGATTTATCATAGCACAAACCATAGCACAAGCCATAGTGCTAAACCTCTGCATGGGCTCCAGTTCACAACATCCACACTACCAATAGGGATGGTCCTCCACATCTGAATGATCTGCTCTGCATGACCTCCAACTCATACTGTTGGCTCAGAAGACATTCCTGAAAATCTTCCATTTGCCTTTGGAAAGCCAAAGCAAATCAAGTCCTTCTCTTGGATTTGCTGCCCAACAGGTTGCTGGCACTGTCCCGAGACCTTGCATTTGCTGCTCACAGCCCTAACATCAATCCTGCCATTAAAGAAATTCTCAAAGATAACGTGGGGAAAGCACAACTTGGAGGTACTGAGCACCACCAGGACCCAATGGAACACAGGAACCAACAGAGTTTGGAGGAGGCCAAATGGGTCAGCACACTCAACTACTCGTCTGCTGGATCCTTACCTCATTTCACTAAGTTTTACAATCCATTCAGCTGTCAGAAGGGAACACAGAATGCCCTGGTTAGCCAGCACAGGCAACTTGTTCCTTTGCTTTAAATTTCCTTCTTGCTTTAACTTTTTGGAGAGCTACACAAAGTCTTTGTAGCAGTTAAATATTTCCTGCTAGCAATTCCTTATAAAACATTAAAATGTTCCCAAAGCCCACCCTGTGATTGTTAAGAGTAAGGTAATGAGCTGATATTTTTTTTCCCACCAGGGTATTGAAAGCTTTCAGGAAAGCTCAGCTAATCTTTTAAGCAGAGCAATGAAAGAACACAACGTAGGCTTGTCTTTACTTGAGTAATGAGCCCTACTTGCTGTAAATTTCTGGAGATGACAGATTTACTCAGGTTAGCCCATAAATATCTCTGTGGTTTTTTTTTTATTTCATAATGGCTGACTGATCAAATACATTGTTGACTCTATACCCTCTGCTTCTCTTTACAAAAGACTGAGGTCCCTCAAGCAGCCACACGTGGCTTGGCAAAGCTCTGTGTTGCCAAACAAACAATAAAGCACGTTTGTTGGCTTTACCTCCCCGAGGAACCCAAGTGCTTTGGCTCTGTTTGCACCACAGGTTTGTATGTCTCAGCAAACCTCATAAAAACAGTGACAGCACGTGCCTCGAGTTGAATCACGGGTTCAATTTATGTTTTTACTGCCTGTCTTCTGCCCCATGGCTGTGCACACAACCTGTTGAACTCTGCATGCCACAGACGTTTCACAGAAATGATGTTTCTGTCCTTTCTCCTACTGAAGTTATAGCACAAACAGCAGAGGCGAGGAGATGAATGCTATGAAGAAAGATCAAGTGTACGTAACACATGAAGCTTGTTTCCTGTGCTTATGTGGCAGAGATGGACTGAACACCAACACCTCAGTAACTTGGCCTCACCATGGCTTTTGTAAGCCCATGTGGCACAATAAACAAGAGCCAGTGATAGCTCAGGAAGGGTCAAGCCCTTGCACTAACACAACTGCAGTATATCCAGGGACTAATAGTAGCTAAAAGAGTTTCATGTGAAACTGACTTTAAAAAGTCTCTTTGGGTCGTTTTCAACTAGAAATCATAAAATGGATTTAACAACAGGTTGCAACCCTGAACTGCTTTAGAAAGGAGGAAAAATGCTGGATGTATGAATCAGTTACAACTGCTACAGAAACCATGTAGACGTGCAGAAGGAAGCTGCCGTCCCACCCCCACCTTCGCAGCACCCCCTCATGCCAAACTGTTTCCAAATTAGTAACAATCACTGCCAAACCACTGCTCACAGTTCTGTCAACAGTGGCAGAAGGAGAATCATTAAAATACAGAAAGTTAGTGAAAAGTTTACCTTTGGAGAACACTTGAAATGCATGCCAGGTACTGGGAGTGTAGTTACATACATTGTAATACACCGATACAGGTATAGTGTGCCAACTATACAGAAAAATCTTCTGCTAATTATAGACCTAAAGAAGGAAAAAGAAAAAAAAAAAAAGAAGAAGAAAATACAATAAGCAAAGGTAAACAAAACACACAAGCCGTAACTTTGGTCTTCTTGATGCTTTTGAAACTCGGGACTTTGTTCATCTATGTCAGCTTCCACCTAGGAATACTGACTTCCTTTACAAATATTCCCACGCTTTGCAGGTCAGAAATAAACTAACATTACCCAGGAAGTTGATTACAGGAAATTTAAGAATTAGAATACAAATGCCTGAGCAGATTTAGTGCTGAAAACATTCCAAGGGATTTCATGCCCACACCCTTCCATTAGCTTAGAATGGTCACTAATTTTCTATTCAAGGCGGGGGATAAACCTACAATATTTTCATTAAAAGATGAAAAGGACTAAGTTAATTTCTGCTGACATACACCTCTTAGTAATTACAAAGGAATGCTGTAGAAGGAATAGCTTGTATGACCCAAATGAATGAGAACATTTATTTCTAAAGCAGCTCACATCAGCAACAGAACATCCAAAATACCAACTGAGAGCTGCATCAGCTGCAGAACGGGGTGTTTTCATAGGAGGGCACTCTCCAGGCAAGCAGTCACAATTGCAACAAGATTCATTCATTGAGGTCTGCCAGTAAATTGCTCAATTTTGGGGTAACGTAGGGAAGTTCCGTAAACACAGTGAGAGCAGGGTGCAGAGAGCTGTAAGTCTGACTCAGAAGCTGTTGCTCAGGCCTACTGGGTTTTACTGCTACATACCGGGCAACACCACCACAGGAAAAAAGCTTCCAGCACATCCATAGCTTGCACAGCCTTTCTTGAAAAAAAATCACCAATGGCTTTATATAACAGAGGCCAGACCCAGCTAGAGCAGGTCAAAACTTTAACCAGTGCTGTATCCTGCTGGCTACAGACTCTTTGGGTTTTGGTTGATTCTGAACCATTGCTATGTAGAGATAAAGTTGTTTGGGGAATACAAGGTGCAAGCCCTCACATTCATTCATTCCTATTCTGAAGCTTTCACTATGAAAGATGCAATAATAATTTTTCTACGAAGTTGAAGTTGTTTCATAGCTCAGCATTGGTCATATTTTCCTTTTAAATGGCTTTTGGCAGAGTTACTAAACTGAAGTGCTCTGCTCTCAGAGGAGTTCAACTTTGCAGTGCCAGATCAATAAGAACTTGAGCATCTTAATTTATCAGAAAAGCTTCAAATACTCCAGTGCAAGTGCATTTTGCACTTGAGTGCTCATTGAGTGCTCTCAGCTATTTAAACACTGTACTTCAGGATTTTTCCCCCTCCCAGTGCAGCCAAGGACGCAGCAGGGAGCTAAGCAGCACTGTATTAGTGCAGCTGCGTGGTCTGAATCGTAGAATCAGATTCACCAAAGTGGGGAAAGTCCTCGTGCTGAAGGCACCACACCACCAGGGCAGTGGTTTTCCTCTGTGGCTCCTATGAGGAGATTCTCCCTTGGAAAGGGAGACTATTACAACTATCCAGCCCTTACTTAACACGGGCAGCAAGTACACTAACTAATCACATACGGGCTGCGTGCGTGGGCTCCTCACACTCCACAGAAAAACACTCAGGGTAAGCAGCCAAGCCCCATGCATCCTCCCCACTCCTGTTCTCTGGTGAAACCAACCTAATCCCCTTGCCAAAAATACCAGGGGCAGGGTTCTGTGAGGATATGCTAAGAAAAAGGCGCTTATCTCCCTGTAACACACCTAGTGCCCGGCAACAAAGCCCTCCCTGCTGAGCAAGCCCACTGAGCAGGCAGAAAACTCCACTATCTACCTGACTTTAAAATTATTTTTCAGGTAAGAAAGAACTGGCAGGAGCCAATGGAAAGTCTGCACCATGGTTAGCTGGATGGATACGACCAGCATCCAATTCCACTTCATGTCTGGTTCTGTAGCACATCAAAAGACACGGAGGTCCTATTCACCTTCATCGTGCAATGCCTGGGCAAAACGAGGAAGAGATCGGTATCGTGAGTATCACTTCTCTATCAGCCTCCATCGCTTGGGAGAAAAACATGGGATGAAATCAGACTATTGGTAAATAACGGATACGGTGTGAGAAGCAGTAAGAGTTTCCCTGCTTGACAATGACAACCTTGTGCTTCTGGCTCATCAGCGATGCCAGACTTTCCCTCAGAGACATCCACGGGTGGTAGCCTCAACCAAGTAGGAGAAGAAATGGGTCTCCTGCCCAGCAATGATCAGGCTTCACAGCTCACCTTCTCATCTGTGACAACAGCTATTCCTGACGCTGCTGATGCTCGAGGAAGTGAGAAAAGTCCATCTGGCTTCATTTCCTCCCTTCATTCTCGAATTAAGTTTCAAAAAGAGGTGATAATGCTCTCCACCAAGTGATTCAGTTCTTCTGTAGCACTTGGTGGTTCACCAACCAAAGCCATGAGAATGAAGTCTTCTAGACAAAGCCGTGTCACCAGTCCCTGTTCCCTTCTGCTCCTTACTGATGGCCCAGGCCGCTCAGATCTCAACAGCTCTGCTTCTATACTCACAAGAAGAAAGGTCTCTAACACGTTACACGACCAGTACTCATACTGACTGGCACAGAATAGCTGTTCCAGGACTGATACTGGAAATGGAAAGCCCTGTGACTCTATGACGTTGTCACCTTATAGCCAAAGCAGAAGAACACTCAAGCAAATAGAAGGAAAACTCTCCACATGTATCAAGGATGCCAAAATACTGTGCTATTATTTCAACCCATTCTCACTGCTTTGAAATCTCCAAACACCTCACAGACTCTGCTGTTCTTAATCCATCACAGCGTGCTTGAACCCTTGTACTGCCCAACACGCTTTTGAAAGCAATTCCCCATGGTCTTCTCTGGGTGCTTCCCTTGGTTTTGAACAACATTTCTGTTCTGGGACACCACGTTTATGGTTCCCCTTTTCATCGTAGGACCACAGCAGCAAGGAGAGCTCAGTATTGCAGCTACCCCAGGGGAGCTGATACAGAAACTTATACAGCAAGAGACCACGTCAGGTTAGATTCTTCTTCCTGTACATACATGAACACACACACAAAAAAGCAATTTCACAGTTTCTAAGCATTGTACAATAAGAATGGACTAAATTAACTATTCTAGAAACTTTTCTTTAAGGAACTCTGTGGAAATGCACAATGGTCTTAAAATTTCAGCAGAGAAAACCCAATAACTTGTATAAAGCAACAATAACGATTAATAAACAGCAGCAATTTTTCCAATATTCATTAGTGACCTTTGAATTTCATCAAATAAGGTGTGATTTTTTTTTTTTTTTTTGATAAGAGGTGCTTGTCCACAATTAATTAGTGAAAAGACACACAGCAAAAGCTGTGTCTCTGGGATGTCTGGGATAGGTCCTCAGGATGAGAAACTGATAGCATCTTGTGGATTGCTTAAACATTTGTCAGATAGCTGTGGAAATCTACAGCCCTGTTACGTAAAGATATCCTGCCCCAGCACAGCAGTTCTCTCAATCTACCTGTACCTTAGTAAGCTGGTGAACAACCTGAATACATTTAAGTTTTAATAATTTTCTCCATTTTAAGGGTGAGTGAGCTGCCACCTCAGGTTTTGCTGTTTTGAAAAAGGGAAACTGGAAACTTTAAGGTCATTACAAAGTCCTGCAAACCAAAAGATCTTGTATTTAACATGGTGCTGCACAAACTAGATGCCTTCTAGCTGTTGTTTGTTGGTTTTGTTTTCTGTTTTCTGTTTTTTTTGTTTGTTTGTTTGTTTTTTAATATAGGAACCACATTAAAAAAAAAAGAGAACTTGTGTTAGAGGAGGTAAACCCCTTTGGGTGAGACAGTTGTAGGGTATGCTTTTGCCTGGTTTTAGAGAGGAAAGGCGACACGCCACTTGATATTCCTTACAGCCACCTGACTTTGAACACTCCAAGGCAGCCCAAGGTATGGATTTATGGCATTTTAAAGAAACTGAATTAAACATCCACTTGCACAGTCACTGTGTAGAGGATAAGAGGTAGGTGACTTGCACTGGCAAGCAAATTCACTGTTGCAATTCTGAGCAGGTATGAGCAAGTACCCAGATAGCCTTGCAAATTCACCATGCATCTGTACTTTTGCATATTTTATGATAAGCTTTCAACATACTCTGTTCCTGACATTACCTGTACTACCTAATGTCAAGCAGAAAATGTCCTTTAGAAGTTTTAATGCAGTATTGCTTCGGTTCACAGCACTGCCTGCTGTTTATGCCTGTCGATGCAGCCTGCTGATGAGGCCTGCTCCCTCCAGCAAGTGCTTGTCCTGCTGGGGGACTTCAACCTCTCAGACATCTGCTGGAAAAGCAGCACAGCAAGCTGCAGGCAATCCAGAAGGCTCCTGAAATGCACCGAGGATAACCTTCTGAGTCAAGTAATGCGTGGCCCCACCAGGGGGGGATGCAATACTGGACTTGATGCTCACCAATCCAAATGACCTGAGTGGTGACATCAGGATTGGAGGCTGCCTGGGCTGTAGTGACTGTGCTAAGGTGGAGTTCATGGTCCTGAAGGATATGAGACAGGTAAAGAGTAAAATCAGGACACTAAGTTTCATGAAAGTTAACTTGCAGCTCTTCAGAAAGTTAGTTAACAAAACACCCTCGGAAACTGTCCCATGGGCAAGGGTATGGAGCAGAGCTGGCAGATTTTTAAGGAAGATTTTCTCAATACACAGGAGCTCTCCATCCCCAGGTGTAGCATGTCAGGAAAGGAAGGCAAGGAGCTTGCTGGCAAAAATGAAGAGCAAGAAGAAAATGCACAGGCAGTGGAAGCAGGGACTGGTATCATGGGAGGAATATAAGGAAGCTGCTGGGAAGTGTAGGGATGGGGTCAGGAAAGCCAAGGCCCAACTTGAACTGAACTTGGCTAGGGATGCCAAGAAGAATACAAAAGGCTTCTATAGGTACCTCAACCAGAGAAGAATAGTCCAGGAGGGTGCACTCCCCCTAGTGAGTGACACAGACAGGCTGGTAACAACAGACAAGGAGAAAGCTGAAGTACTTCACAACTTTTTTTGCCTCAGTCTTCTCTGACAACTGCTCACCACACAAACCTCGTATGTTTGATTTGGTAGGAGTGCACTGGGAAAGCAATGTCCCTTCCACTGGAAGCGAAGATCAGGTCAATGACCACCTGAGGAAACTGAAAGTCCACAAGTCTATGAGTCCCGATGAGATGCATCCCAGAGTCCTGAGGGAATTAGCTGATGTAGTCGCCAAGCTACACTCAATGATATTTGAAAAGTCGTGGCAATCAGGTGAAGTCCCTGCTGACTGGAAAAAAGGCAACATCATGCCCATTTTCAAGAAGGGTAAAAAGATGACTTAGGAAACTACCATCCTGTCAGTCCCATCTCTGTACTGGGAAAGATCATGATGCAAATCATCCTGGAAGCTATGTAAGGCACACTGAAGGCAGGAAGCTGATACAGAAGAACCAGCATGGCTTCATCAAGGGCAAATCCTGCCTGGCCAACCTAGTGGCTTTTTATGATGGTGTCACTGTGTCAGTGTACAAGGGAAGAACCACTGATGTAATCTATCTGGACTTCAGTAAGGCCTTTGACACAGTAGCCCACAGCATCCTTCTCTCCAAATTGGAAAGGATTTTATGGGTAGATTGCTCAATGGATGAAGAACTGGATGCAAAGAGTGGTGGTCAATGGCTCAACATCTGGATGGAGATCAGTGACAAGTGGTGTACCACAAGGGCCAGTGCTGGGACCAATACCCTTTAATATCTTCACCAATTACATTGATAGTGGGGTCGAGTGCACCCTCAGCAAGTTTGCCAATGACACCAAGCTGTGGGGTGTGGTTGACACACCAGAGGGATGGGATGCCATCCAGAGGGACCTAGACAGGCTGAGCAGTGGGCCCAAGTGAACCTCAGAAGGTTCAACAAATCCAAACGCACCTGGGTCAAGGCAACCCTCACTACCAATACAAGCTGGGGGATGAAAGGATTGAGGGCAGCCCTGCCAAAAAAGACCGGAGGGTGCTGGTGGATGAGAAGCTGGACATGAGCCAGCAATGTGCCCTCACAGCCCAGAAAGCCAACCTGGGCTGCATCCAAAGAAGCGTGATAAGCAGGGCAAGGGAGGTGATCCTGCCCCTCTGCTCTGTGCTGGTGAGGCCTGATCTGGAGCACTGCGTCCACATGTGGAGTCCTCAGTGCAGGAAGACATGGACCTGTTGGAATGTAACCAGACAAGAGCCACAAAAATGATCCACAGAATGGAAAACCTCCCCAGTCAGGACAGGCTGAGAGAGCTGGGGCTGTGCTGGAGAAGAGAAGGCTCCTTTCAGTATCTAAAGAGATACTGAAGAAGGCCTTTCAGTATCTAAAGAGGAGCTACAGCAAAGACTCTTTAACAGGGTCTGTGGTAATAGAACAGAGAGAAATGGCTTCAAGCTTAAGGAGATTTAGGCTGGATATAAGGAAAAAGTCTTCTGCAGTAAGGGTGGTGAGGCACTGGAAAAGGTTACCTAGCGCTGTGGTTGATGTCTTATCCTTGGAGACTTCCAAGGTAAAGCAGGATCAGGTCCTGCATAACCTGATCTAGAGCTGTGCACGTTCCTGTTTGCTGCAGGGGAGTTGGACTTGCTGACCTTTAAAGGTTCCTTCCAACTCTATGGATTCTAAGAAAAATACTGTGGTCTTAGGGTAGGACCTTAACATCAAGTAAACTACAGTGAGAATTCCCAAATCAGTTCACAGATGATGACTTACACGTTCACTCTTACACAGATAGGACAGTCAAATGAGTTAAGAACATAGTTACACTCAAATCAAGGCTTTTCACGTGCTAAAAGGATTAACATTAACTCTGCAGGCATTAAGATCATAGTTTCTTATGTAGCAGTAGACTGAACTCCCTGCTTTTGTACAAGCAGCCCACACAAACTGCAGAACCCGTGATGAGGCATGTATTTCAGTTTGGGATACCAAAACCAGAAAGACCACAAGAAACATCACTTTACTTGGACTGTACCCGACCTCCAAATCCATCACAAGTATGCCCTAGAACACCAAGTTTCCAAAAGGTTTTACTTACTTGTATTTTAACAGCAGCCACTGAACAAACCACAGTCCCACAAGGATCATGCCGTTAATTTCACAAATAGAAAAGGCCCATTGCACTCGATCAAAGCGATCAAAAAATGCATCTGGTAGGGGAGGCTGCACCTCCTTGGGAGGCACTCGTTCGTGAACAACTGAGATAGTCACTGTGGTAAAGATGAAACAAAAAAGTGCATAAATAAAAGCCAGGAAAGTTTTGCCCCATTCCATGGGATACTGCAAGCGCTCTGGCTCTGGCATGGGGATCTTTATCATCTCCTTCTTATAACCATTTGGCACTCCGTTCAGCTTTGTTTTACTGCTAAAGCCATTTTCATGTGCGGTGTTGTTAACGCTGACACGGATGTGCCCGTTGACATGCCCATTTTTGTGAGCCTCTATGTGATGAGCCATTTTTAAAGTCTCGATCATGTGCAATAGCTGCTGGCCGCTGTCGGACGACACTCGGGAGAGAGGCGTCTTCTTGAAATCCTCCTCCGTCAGGTTGATCAAATCCTGCCCGGTGAAGCTTTTCAATGGCTCACAGTACTCCGGCACAGCATTTTCCATTAGCCAATTTGTCACCTCCTCAGGCGACCACGACACCACTTCTTTCATCCTGCCAGGCAGCCGGGGCACAGTCTTACATCGATTTTAAAGTGGGCAGCAGTCACTGTGGCTCCAGCACACCAGAAGGCTCCTCCTTGGCTTCATCTTGTCCGAGGAAGCAGTTTGGCAAGAGACAAGTCCCTGTCTCTAACCATTTGATGTGAGCACCCAGGTGCTGTGGCAAGCGCAGCAAACGGTTCACTTCATATTCATGTTGGCATTCTTCTTCCTGGGGAGGGAAAATAAACCAGGCACTTAGCATTGACTGAAAGTTTGCAATTCAGGTTCAAAGACAAAACAACTGCCAAAGAATAGCCAGACTCTGGCTCGGAAAGATTGATTTTAGTGCCAGCCTTGCATGCACAAGCCCTGTCCCCTCTGAGCTTGTTGCCAATTACTCCAGAGCCTTAACAATTTTTATTAAAAACAATGCTTCCTAGCTGAGTTGAAGACTTGTTTTGCTCTGAACTAGACACGTGAGATACAGCTTTTAATCTCTTTCTCTGCGGAATCAGCTAGGTCTGATGCTCGATAAAAGATGAAGCTTTGGATGAAGGGCTCACAGCACTCCAGGTACACCACCTCTAACTTGCTGCGCGTGCCAAGCATGTGCATGCACTAAAATACACGAAGCTAACAGAGATAACAATAAATGCCCTCCCTTGCAACTACCCTCGCTATTTAAATTCACGGGAAGAAAGGATACAGCTCTATTTTCTTTCTCCCTTTTTGCAGTGGGATCACATGTACTGAGAAAAGCTTTTAGACACAGATCGCTTCATTATTCAAGTGGTGTTTAGCAAATCGGTGTTTAGTTACAGAGCTCCGAACATGGAAAAACAGGACTGATTGAATTATGCATGTTAACCCACATTACACATCCCGAGCAGACTCTCACCGGAGGACAGCTTGGCTTGATATCACACCATGCTGTGCTGAGACCACAGTGTGCTGCATCACCACAGGGCACCTGAGCTCCTGGGTCCCATAGTGGCTGCAGCACAAAGTCTGGACGTGATCCACGCCATGCCACCACCCATTTCAATGCCCACAATATTCCCATCCCAGGTGATGTGCCACCAAAGAGCTCCTCTGCAAGCTTTGCTTTACAAATTCAGCAGGGATGTGGGGCTGTCAGAGTACTTGGCAACACCACGAGGTGGGGTAGTATTAAAGCTTTTCACTTTTATAAGCTGGAGAGCAAATGCCAGTTTCCCAAATACTCAGAAAGTTGGAAAGGAGGAGAGAACATCTTTAACCAATATCTTCCTAGCACATCAGTTTTTCTGTCCAGCAACTGACAACGCACTGCAACCTCCTGCTTGCTTACAGAGTCAGGATCCCCAAGACAAAGAACTGCATTTATCACTGTGGAACAAACTGCAGCCAATCCCAACATTATATCTCAATGCTTACTACATATACACCTTCTCTTGCCTGGGCTAAGCTAGTAAATTTTAAGAGGAATTCTACATGCAGTGCGAAAGAACAAAAAATGCTATTCTCATACCAGCACAAAAGTCATAGTACACTCCGTAACCCTGAGACCAGGCCTGGCAGCTCTATGAGAAGTAGCAAATGTGTGCTTCTGGCAGCAAAACTGTGGGAGCCTGCAACATTGCTTAAAGAAAATGCAGTCAATTCTGAAACATGCATGTGTTCTTTCTTTAAACTCACCATCAATAATGCCTTTAAGAGATATCCTGCAGAAAAATAGATGGCTCAAGTCCTGCGTTTTTGTCCTTTTAGAGTATAAAAGCATTTTTTTCCAAGAAACTGTATTGGTTTTAAAAAATGAGGAATCCTATCTAACGTATACATGGGCACACACCTTCATCCCTGTTAGAAATCCAGGTCTCACCCTCTGCAGAGGAACTGCAAATGGCAGCACTGGGACCAAAGAGGAGCTAAAGAGCACAAAGTCCCAGTCTTTGCTGCTCTGGCAGTGTGAGCTCAGAGCCTGCTGGGTGAAATCCCAGCCTGCTGCCACCATGCCACCAGCACATAAATCCCTTGGAGCACCTTTTGTAAAGGCAGAGTAACTGATATGCACAGACAGAAGGCCAAAAGACTCAGCTTGAAAGTTAAAATGAAGAATAACATCTAACATTTCTAATGCAAACATCCATTTCATAGCTTGTCTGAAACAGAGGGCAAATAGGCAAAACAAGTTTCTTTAGTTTCTTTCAACTACTGCCAGCTTGTTGCCCTGAAAATATCTCCTTTTTTCAACGTGCACTGCTAAAAGCTCAACCAGGTAAGGTCTGCAGAAGCAATCTGGGTGCCTCACAGTGCTCCCACTGCCCTAAGTAAGGTTTGCTCTTGTCCACGGAAGCCAAAGACGTCAAGCACTGCTGATGTGCACTGGGGCTCTGTGCACTGGGCTGGGAGCTCAGGCAGGCAACAAAAATGCTCCCTCCATCTGCATCACATCTCCTTCATTAAGGAGCCAGTATCTGGTAATGAATGATAAATACGAATGTGAGTAGTATAATGATACCAATTGCACCATCACAATGACAACACAGGACCCAAACCAGTATCTCAAAACACCCGTCACGAGACTGAGAGAGATGAAGCAACTTCGGCAAGTCTCCCAGCTCCCACCTCCTTGTGTTTACACAACCTTTTCTCTATATTCCCTGCAAATATTAAAGGAACTTACAGATCCTCTTCCAGTTTCAAAACAGGGAGTGCTGGTAAGCAAAGCTCCTCCCTTTACCACTTCAATCTGACCACAGAGAAGCTGGAATACCAAAATCACACCAGGAGGTTCTACAAGCACTAGGAAACCTCACAGAACAAGATCTCTTTTGCATCATTTTTGGGAGATGCAGTTGAGCACAACAAGCAAATCAGAGAGCAACTAGTTCTTTGATTAAAGGACAACATCTGCCTGCAATAACACCACCGCTGCCTACAACCCTGCTCTCAGCCTGCTGGCCAAGGTGCAGGAGCCTGCAATTTTCCACCCACAGGTCTGCTTGGAGGATAACCAAGGACCCACGCTTCGTGTCATGATCTTGGTTTTTCATTTCAAAGTCCACCTGCTGAGCAAGTGATGGACCAGAAGTACAGCACTGGGATGGCTGTGTGGGCCACAGAGCTGTCATCTTCCTCCCAAAGCCGGCTTGCAATTTAATACACCACTCCTTATTACTTCTAAACTTGCAGCAAAAAGCAATGCTTCTCATCATTAACACTGACAAGATAGAAACAGCAGAAAAAGACCCTTTGGTGTCTGTTTGGCATCTGAATGAGGAAAGGCCTAAGTAGAAGTAGGTGGGGAAAAGGGAACATTAGTATTTACAGAAGGGAAGGGATACTGTTGTGAAAGTAATATCTAGACCAGTGATCCCTAATGTCTTCCTCATGCTTGCACAGTGCTTTTATTCTCTAAGCAAGGACCTTTGCTGCCAAGGCAACAGTCACTATAGAAATCAGCTAAATAACCAGCCATCTCAGAAACTTCAACCAGCTCCACACAGCCAAGGAGATTTGCAAATCCTTTCCCATGAAGTAGGTGCATTTTATTTGCAAACTGTGTGTCATTCGTCAGCACCCCCAAAAAGCTGAGATGATAAAGCCATTAGCAAAAGTATTGCTAAAACAAGCAATGCCCGCAGATAGGTAAGCACAGTTTAAAGATAAAAATGACAAGACTTTCTCTCTTGAAAATTAACATACGCTGCCATACACACTGATGATAACTGCACACACAAGCAGGAGAAAAGCGAGTGCTGTAACGACTGAAGTTTTAATGCTTTAGCAAGCAACCCCCCAGCCAATTCCAAAAACTCACCAGCAAGCACAAGTTACACGGACACTACATATACTCTGGAGGAAGCTCCTGTCCTGCAGTTTTATGGCACAAAACAAACTGCTTGTAACACAAGCATGTGAGTCACAGTAGTAGTCCCCTCCTCTACAGAAATTTTGCCATCACTCACAATAATGCTCCCACATCTCCCCAACTGGATGGCCTGCACCTACAAAGCACCTCTGCACGCCAACCTCACCAACATGAGCTCTCCAGCAATGCACTGAACCATCTCCCTGTCTGCAGGGCACTGTTGCCTCTAAACCAGAAATTGCCTCTTGCACAATACTGCACTGCAAGGGGCAACATTGTTTAATGTTTTAAAATGCCAGCAAGAGACTTCTGGCATTTTAAAACAATAAGCGATATTGGCTTTGTGCTGTAAAGAACAGCTATTTGCAAATAGGAGCTATCTGTAAATATAAAATAGAGGCACGGATGAGTGTACAAGTTTCACAGAGCTCTGAGATAGGTTTCCAAGGTCAGCCCCAGACAGAAAATGTTGTCCCACAGATGTGAAGATGAAGCAAGCAGAATTACTACTAAGACAAGACAGGCTGCAATCGATCCGCAAAGCAACTCCCACGTATCCTCAATAGCTGCTCACACAGTTTCAGAGAGAAAAAATTGCCTGCATGCTACATAAATCCCCAAGCAGCCCATTTTTGCCTAAATTATTCTACAGGAAGGAAATAAGCCTACCCTAGTTTATAGGAGCAAAGCAAAATCCACTCGCAGACAAGAATCTCAGCAGAACAGCTCTGACTGAATGCCAGAGTTCAGCAGCAAGGATTTCAAAATGAAAGTACTTGCACTGAGCCTGAACCAACAAACAAGTTTCAGAGAGGAAACACTGCTAGCAGGTATCTTTAAATCTGTTACACAAATAACCTATATGGTATACCTATATGGTATATGTGTATTACACACACACGCACACACACACCCTGTACTAATTCACTGAGACAACTTTTTCCTCCAAGAGGAGGAAAGCCTCGCTCTTGGCTTCTTTGTAGGCCTAAATCTCACTGCTCAACTTTATTCCTCACCCTTCTTTCTGCAGCTCTGAAGTAGTTATGGAAACCAGCAAACACTTTGAGAAAGCTTCAGCTGACCAGCAAGCTCATTATCTGGCCAGTTGCTAAGCAGGGCTTTTGTTCTGACGCTACGGAAATCCTGCTTCTAGTGATCCAGGGTGGACAGGATGGGGTGGGGAGAATAGCTGCTGGCTTTGCTTGAAGTTTTGAAGAATTATTTCAGCCCCAGAAGTCTCATCATGAAACATAGGACCAGAAAAGCAGCCAGCAACTGTAGAAACAGCTAAGAGCTTTCCACCTCGAGCAAGGATGGTCCAAGTGCATATCTCATTTGTACTGCATGCCACAGCCCAGACATTCAAGTTGTTAAGT